CGTGTTTGTTAGTCTTTACAGTGCAACCAGACTATTTGTTGTTTTTGAAGATTTTCTTGTTACAGATTAACTCAGTTACCCCTCTGAAACTTCATCACATTTAGGTAAATGGACACTGTACCTGGAGTGGTTCACATCTCTGAGAAGTCCAAAAGTGTTTCTTAGTGCCAGATTGGAGATGGAAGCAAGAAGGAAAATGCACTCACACTACTGAACCTCTGTCATTTCTCTTGTAGTTTACTATCACTTTGTCATTAAAGGGTTGAGGTGCCAATCATTGCTTATATGGTTATGGCATCTGGTATTTCCTTCTTTGTGCTGAAGGCTAGTGAGTTGTCCTTGACTTTTTCAGTAAGTATAACAAATTAGTTGTCTTCCACTGAACAAAAGTTCCCTTTACAAACAAATCCTCCATATTAGGTTGGACTTCCTTGAAAAACCTTGAGAACTAAATAAAAATAAATAAATTAATGGAGATTACCTATCTCCTAGAACTGGAAGGGACCTTGAGGTCATCGAGTCCAGTCCTCTGCCTTCACAGCAGGACCAAGTACCATCCCTGACAAATTTTTGCCCCAAATCCCTAAATGGCCTCAGCAAAGACTGAACTCACAACCGTGGGTTTAGTTGGCCAATGGTCAAACCACTGAGCTATTCCTCCCCCAATGGGTTCAACTCCCCACCTCAGGTGCCAAAACATTGTGGGCCAGCCCTGAGTCTCAGACCTAGGCACTAGATGGAAACTGAAGAGTCAGTTGGTCTGCATTGCCCCTTACCCCTTTGGTTCAGAACAGTAGGGAGCATGCATTTCTAACAGACATTACTAACAAAAACCTTCCAGCCTCAAGCTCATAGAGCACACATGCATGCACAATGGAATATACAAAGACCATCATTTGAAGGTGGGGGGTTTACTTCTCCATGTTACCATTCTCCACACCAACTATCCCTCAAATAAAAGAAACCCACAGCAATTTTCAATAATCTACCTATTTGGGGACACCTTGACCATGAAATGCATAATAGGAAATTCTAGCTTGTGGAATTATTTTTATATATGTAATAGTTGCATAGAATAAACACGGATAAAACTTTATTAGAAGTGCATAAAACTGTGCAACAAATATACCAGCCAAATTAAGTAGTTTGGCATTAGCACTATAACATAGTGGCTACTGGAGTAAACAACAACCAGCACTCCAATAAGAGGAAATGGAAAGTGAAATTAAAAAAGTGAATCAAAATTATTTACTTTCTAGGTTCCTTTCCTTAGGCAGGTAACAAGAAATGATAAAACAAGGCACTTTAAATAATGTACATGAATATTTTGGTGACAAACAAGAAAACAGAATGAATGAGTTATGTAAAAGCAGTACACAGAGCCCAAATGCACCATTGTGTGTTAATTCTTTAACATAACCATTAAAAAAGAAGAGAGAGAAAACTTATTCTTTCTGCATTTATTTTGTTTCCAAGGTATAAAAAGGTAGACTGAGCTCTAGAGAGTAAAAGAGAAACTGAATTTTATTTTTGAGATGTATATTTTAGGGTTTCTTAAATATCATTTAATTGTTAAGTTTTTTTGTGGGAAGGTTAATATTCTTTCCTGACATTTTAGAGCCCTCAGTCAGTGTCACTATGCCTTTGCACTCTCTGGTTAAGTACTTGAAGATAATAGATCCATTTGTGTTTGTCAGCTAAGTGATAAAGCTACCAAAAATGTAAGTAATCACTTCAAAAAAAAAAATACAAGAGACCAGGGTAATACAATTGTATGAAACACTCACAGGATTAGAACTGCATATAAAATTAACTCACAATAACTAGAATAATTATATACTCTGAATCAGTGTTGCCAGAAACATATTTTCAGTGAAATTCTCTCTCATAAGAAAGAGCTCTAATGTCAGCAATAGCTGTGCAAGACTGCCACAACATGAGCTGATTAAGTTTGGGAATGGCCCACTGAAATAATAATAATAATAATAATAATAGGAACTATCAAAAAAAGCATTTCACTTTAATGTACTCTAAGAGTGCAGGTATATAAATAGCAAAGATTTTTTCCCACATTCAACCATAACATACAGTAGGCGTCTTATATAATGAGAGAAACAGACACCTCATTTAACCATGTGGCCCATTTTGAGCAGCTTTGTTGCCTGCTGTTGTCATAATGTCAGTGCTTCTGTCAGCCCACTATCATTCCTTGCACCTTATAATGTAACTAGCAGATTCACAGGGTAATAATGATTAAGAGAACCTTCAATAAGAAGTGATTTTGGAATGTGTCTGCTTTAAACATTCACTGGCAAATTTTGTGCAACATATCAAGTTAAAATGCCATAAAACTATATCTTACTCTTGAAAGAAGTACAACTGATGTTTATGCCACATAATATTAGCCTAATTTTGACAAACTAAGATATCAACTCTGTAACTAGTAGTAACAATGTCCAAATATACTATAAAAATGGCCTAACACATGTTTTATTCATAACCACAAGAGTCACTCCTGATTCAGTCAATTGATAGCTTATTATTTTAAGGACATAATTCCCACTTCTTTCCCCCTCTTCCCAATCATATCTGTGTTGTATAGTAACAGTCTAATTTTTCAAATTATACATGTTTTCTCTTACATCACAACTAAATATTCAATATCCTACTTAATTAGGCTTAAAATTATTAACTTGCAGTATTCATACTAATCATTTATCAGTTTAGAATGCAAATGTAAAGTCTGTAAGAAATATAGTTTCATACCTAAACAGTTATTCTCTATGTATAATTAACAGAAAAATGGTTCAACAGAATGTTGACATTGTTTTACGGCTACTCTCCCCTCAGATTACATTACAATCTTTTTACGATATATCTTTTTTTGGGGGGGGGGTTCAAAACTAATTGAACCCTTTGTTCCTTTTGTATATTTTTGTCTAAAATATAGCACACGTTAAATCATGATGTCGAGTTGATCTATTAAATATACAGAAGTAACATTACTCACCTCAACCTGCTGTTCTCATTTGCTATGACATCTTCAGCAATGAACCTCACTTTTCACAATTATATTGGATTGGAGGCAATTGAAGATCCAGATAGTTTTGGACAGATCCAGAACTTTTATAAAGTTGAAGTCAGGGCTGAAAGTTTCATTGCCAGGTTTGTTTGTTGTTACCATTAGTTCTTCATGCAGTCACATGGCTGTTCAATTATCATTGGAATAAAACTTACTCCATTTCAAAGTTGCTAAAATCTTATTAGTAAGACTCATTAGCTCTTCGCACATTCCAGCTGATCTCTCAGAATGAGAGTTTATCCTTGCAGTGTTTGTTTGGGGTGGGGGTTGTTTGTTTTGTTTTTGCTTATGCATGTTGCTCTACTTAGACTGTAATCTTTAAAAATAGAAAATGTAACATTTCTAGCCATGATTCTTTAGAAAATAGTAACTGTTTGTGTTTTGTGTCAGTCATTGAACCGTGGATTCCACCCAGAATATTTTACCTCACTTAAATCACCAGCTGAAGAAGAAACTGGAGAGTTTTAAAAGTTATTTTTCTTGTAAACTGATAGCCAATCAATATTTTAGACTTTCTTTAGAAAAAAAAATCATTTATAGTCCCTGTAATCTAAGATCCAATCTACTTAATCTGTAAAAGGCAAAACATCCTTAAAATAGAGAAACTGAGGACACTGGTTTCTTATTATTATAAAGAGGTGTCTTCAGAGCATTCTATAAGTATACTTAACAAGCATGGTAACATGAAGAGCAAACTTTAGTAATAGCAAATCTATTTGATTGTTAGTGATATGTCACTGTTCAACTGAATAGGATGACTTAAATACATTTAATATGTGAAAAGAGTGTGATATATGGGTGATGACCCTTGAAATTAAGAATATTAATATAAGATAATACATGATGTTGTCTAATAAACTCATCAAGATTGTGGAGGTGGTAAACAAGCTAAAAGTTCAAATTAAACTGAAAAACACAAGCCGTATAGCACTCAGAAGATTACACAGTTGAAACACAGCAGTGTTATTCAAAAGAAATCAGTGATTATGGAATTTAAGAGCAGTTAGTTATTAAAATATTGCATTATAACAAATCAAAATATTGAATGAAAGTCTTGCTGAGATTTATGAGCAATATATAAACTTAATGAGCTGAATCATTTTAAGAAAAAACAGGTTTAGCAACTGTGCTAATTACAACTGATGACTGAAGGGAATGTAAGTTTGAAATATTTAAATGCATATTATGACATCAAACGCACAGCCTGATCTCTGTATACATTATCTATTGTTGTACGAGACCATAACGACACTCAGTAGAAAGGAGAAGGCTAGCAGTCACTTCTTTAAGGTTCTAGTAGAATAAAAAGAAAAGCAGTTCCTAGAAGAACAGCAAATAACAGTTTAACTTGATTGGACATGTACAATTTTAATAGACACATTGCTGTAGTTCCTTTTAGGAGCCATCACAAGACTACATGATGGCAAGATGAAATTCTGATTTTGACTGCATTTTTGGTTTGCTCCTAGTGAATATTACAGTCTTTAGGGGCCAAGTTTAGCCCTGATAATAGCCACTATATCGTGTCTGTTATCAAAGTGTGAATCTAGTCCCAGATCTTTATCATTGTGTGAATCTGGTGCCAGATCTTGATCATTGCATAGTCAGATTCTATAACTATCCATGCAAGTATTCTCCTGAGAAACTTAAACCTATAGATTAATTTGCCTTATACAACTTTCTTGTTTTCGTGCACAACGCATGCTTTCCTTTTTTCCCCACTTCACACCATATTTACCATCAGGCTATCAAAGACATCTTCAGCATTCAAAGCAAATTCAAGTTTTAAATGACATAAGAGCATAATTAAGTGCAAACTAGTTTTTCATAGCAGCCACCCATCAAGCTAAATAATGCTGGTAAACCTTAATAGTTAGCAAACAAAACTCAATCTCCCCTCCTCCAACATCTCACTCACCTGCTGCTCTCCTGGCTCTGGAGATTTCATTAGGTGTTTATCCTTGTATAAGGACCACAGACCAATATTAGGCAGGAAAATTAAAGCCATCATGAACAACAACGTCATTTGCAGAAATCTCTTCTGTTTTCTCTTCATGGCAAATGGCAGCATGTATAAGATGAGCTATCCCTTGCGCTCGAGAGCAATTTCTTTTCCTCCCTGTCTCCTCGTCACCTCCAAACTAGGAGTCGATTCAAAGAAACTTTTGTTACAAGCCTTCACTACCAATCCGCCCCGTTCACAGGGGGCGTTTGTAACCTGCGGGACAAACGCAAAACATAGATTCACTTAACAATGCCCCCAAAATTGCGACTGAAATCATCAGTGAAGGCTTTCCCGAGGAAACTGTGAAGCACATGACCCACCCGCGTTAATATAAAACAAGACAGTAAATACGATCGGCTGATAGACGGAGCAGAAGTTATTGAATCATCGATATGCCAAGATGTGGTTTGCTGGGGGACTTGGGAGCCACGCGCGGTCGCAGCGGGACAGCTATTCGCCAGATGGACTGTTACCTCTGCCTCTAGAGAGAGGAGACTAATCCCCCCGTGAGAACAGCCGCTTCCCACCCCGGAGCTACAAGGTGCAGCTCCAGCTGGGACCGAAGGAGGGAAGGGGCACTCCTGCTTGACCCGCGAGCTCCAAACTCCTTCACACACACACACACACACACACACACCCCTGCACGGACTGCCTGCCTCGGCGTCCCCTCCTCCGCCTCACGTCTCAGCTGCAGCCAGTGCACTTCCTGACAGAGGGAGAGTGTCCTTAGGATACAGCTGACATCACGCCGAGCAACACACCAAACAGATGGAGATTTACCCTCCCCCTCCGAGGCACTCTTCTCGCATCGCCAAGTGCGTTCACCGCCGCTCGCTCGCTCCCCTCCCGCGGGGTTTTCACGCGCTTCTCCCGGGCATGTTTCCATTCTCCTCCCGGGGCCGCTGGAGCCGAGAAGAAAGAAGAAAGCCCCGAACGAGCTCAGCCATGTAGGAAATAAAACTGCGCCAGGCTCTAAGTGTGCAGGAGGGACCGGCCCGGGGCCCCCCTACGCCCCCCCCCCCTCCAGCTCCCGCTGGCTTGCAGCGAGCCGGTAGCGGCTGCACGACATGTGCACGGGATCCAAGCGGGGGAGGGGACACCCTGCTCCGCTCCGCTCCGGCGCCAGCAAAGCAGCAGGAGGCGCCGGGCAGAAGCCCGGCTCTGCGCGCTCCCTTCCTCCCGGACGCTGCCCACCTCGCCCTCACCTCAGCCCAGCGGCGCTGGGCCCCAGGTAGCAGTTGGGTCCTGGGCTCTTCCTTCTCGCCCGCTTCATGATGAGCT